CATCCCTATCAGGTTGGAAGCCATTGCTATTAGGTTGGAGGCCATCCCTATTAGGTTGGAGGCCATCCCTACTAGGTTGGAGGCCATCCCAAATTAGGTTGGAGGCCATCCCGAATTAGGTTGGGAAGTGTCTTTCGACGTCTCCCAAGTGCTGGCGAGGCACTGGACGAACCACACGTTGCCCACTTTCTTCTCCTGCTCCCCAGCAACCAACAAAGACTAAGTCTTGCAGCGCTCAACACGTATGAGCACCAAGAAAAGTCCAAAAATGCAAAAGGAACAAACAAGAACACCCAAATAATGTATATACACACGCATATTGTATGATACAGAACACAATGTAATATTTATATATCTATATGTATTGCTATATTTTACATCTACCATAAATATAAACCCATGGTCTTTAGGTGACCCGAGTCTAAGAATGTCCTTTATACTTCAGTCGGTCAAAATATCGTCGAACTGGACTTCTATATAAATAAAATGCTTTTAAAAAAAGGAACAACGTTTTTACTCCACTCCTGATGATTGAGAGTATGAAGACGTGGATGGCGCATCCATTGGGTGTCTCACCTCCGTTCTCCAATTGCTCCTGGACCGGAAGGGCGATGGCCTCCAACCTAATAGGGATGGCCTTCAACCCCAATAGGGATGGCCTCCAACGTGATTCACAAGGCCATGCACTCGGCACGGTTAGCACATGTTAGCACTGTTACGCTTTCACCGAGCCGCTGCCTGTGACGCCGAGTGCTCTCCAGCAAGACAGGCGTCGCTGCTGGATTCTTCCTTGGAAACATCTCTCCCAAAGCTCTCTCTGAGTCATCAAGAACTGATCCTCCGAATCCACAGTTCTGCTGCGGATTCGCGCGCAAGAGGACTCGGTATCGCGCACCAAACCTCCTACCGCTATCTACCGCTAGGTTTGCCAAACAGCCAGCTGCGCTCCTCATGTACGAATCAGTCTTGCTATGCCAACTCTCATTCCGATTCCATGCCAAGGTTCCACATGAAGCGTTTTGACCGTCGAACACTTCCTTCCTGCCCATGGCCCATTCGTTCTGCTTGAACCAGTTTGTGGGCCTGCCAACATGGGGGGCTCTCCCACCGTCGAACGCCGAGCCGAGCGTTGAAGAACTCACCGGGAGAGTTGGCTCAACAGACACTCCGTTTCGAACGCCAGGATTCCAAGTGGTGTTCTGAAAGGAAAGAGACACCCAAGAGACACCAATCGGAATCGGCCTCCCTCAACAAATCCTGTGTCACGTGCATGGCAATGGCCAGTTGGACGTCGATCACTTGCCCAGCCTCAAAGCGATCCAAAATCTGGAAAGAACAACTGCAACATCTCAGTTCCATCAACTCTCCTCGCAAATGCGATGATAAAAAATTGAAGAGACTGATTCCATCTTGATTCCCATGACTTGAGGCTCAAAATGCTCAAAATCTCCCAGTAAATCCAGCCTGTAGGACCACTGGGGCGTTTGGCTGCAAGACCGCTTGCAGCCCAAACCGAGCGATGAAGTAGGCAAGGTTCGTTGAAAAGCCCTGGCGCTGTGCGCGGCCAGAACCGTGCGGCGGCTTCGCTGTGGTTCCTTTTCCTCCACGTCGACACTCGTGCGCAACGAGTCGACTCGATGCGCCGTCGATGGAACCGTCGATGGTGGTAGGTCCCGTGGCCCCCGTCTTCCCCACGGTCCGCCGCGATCAGCCCGGTCTCCCCGGCGGGTGCGCGGCCTGGACGTTGGCCGCGCTGACCCGCACGTTGGACATGGACTCAAAGACTCCGGACACCAGGAGTGTGAAGGCCATCCTGCGACACAACCGACCGGGGGACGCCAAAGGCGACCACCTGAGAAAACCACTATTCTACTAGTAGGTTGGAGGCCATCGCTAGAAAGGGGTGGAGGCGACTAGTAGCAGGGTGGAGGCCATGACTAGTAGCTAGTAGCAGGAAGCTGGATGTTTTGAGGTCTGGAACCGGAACATACCGACACTCCGAGGGGACGGACGGGTCGGTCCGTGGGGAAAGGCTTTTTGAGAGGTCAGGGAGGTCATGGATCGTTTTGGACCGTTTTTTGGCAAAGATACAAAGGGGCTATACATATATATAACAATATACTGTATATATATATATACATATATATCCTTATGAACCTTTTTGGTACTGACTGACATGACAGGGAAGCAGCTTTGATTGAACAAACGAATGTGCGTTTCACTTCACGCCTTCCATTCTAGTTGAGGAAAAGCCAACAAAATGTTGAAAATTCTCTCTTGCTACACTGCCAATGCGCAAGAAAAGGTTCTTGCAGGTGAAAGAGTTGTGTGGACTAGAGGGCCCGCAACAAACAATCTGCAGTTCATGAGCTTGGAAATTGTTGCAAAAGATAAAAACAGAAAGAGCCAAAGACCATTGCTTCGAGAAAGACTCTTATAACATCTATATTATTAAAAGGAACAGTCCATGTCCTTGGTTCCAAGGACAAGTCTGAGGCAAACCTTGCCCCTTCTGTCTCTGTGTCCCCTTCTGTCTCTTCGGCCAGAAACTCGCCCGTCTCTGACAGTTTGGCAGCTGCGGAGCCATCCGCGTCGCTCCTCGCGCTGGGAGGGTCTACAAAGTTGACGAAGGCCAAGGCGATATTCATCTCCTGCGGTTGGTCGTGAGTTGGGGGCCAAGTGCCATACGGGCCATGTGGTGTCTCATTTGCACGGAGTTGGGGGCCAAGTTGCACCAAAAACGTCGACCTGGAACGGACCCTCCCCAAGTGATCGCCCGCATCGTGTTGGGCGCCCGGAGGCTGATGACGTTTTTGGGAGGTCGATGTCTCGAACAACAGCGCAGTGACCGATGGCGTTCCTCAAGCAGACCTCCAGATCGGGAGGCGATCTCTCAAACCGACTGAAACCGACTGAACATCGGTCTTTTGGCACTTCTCAAGCCAGTATGGGTCGTAGAGCAGCCCATACTTAATGGCTTGAGAAGTGCCAAAAGAGCGGTAAAGAGGGGTCTCTCACGGGTCCTTCCGCCGATCGAAGGGAAGATACACAAAGTCGTACTTGCCGGCGGCGAACCCATCGAGGAAAGCCCTCGGACGTCAGACATTCTGCAAGCGGAAACCGAGCAGCTCATGAAGCTCATCCAGCTCAGCCTTCGGATTAAAAGAAGAAAGAACATGCAAGTGTCTGTTCGTATCTAAACGTCTTTTCAAGTGTACCCACGTGTGCGAAACCTGATTCCAGCGCCCAAAGAATCGTCCGCCAGGCTGCAGCAAGGAAGCCATGGTCATCTCAGGTGGTACCCGGCGCAACATGATGGTCGTCAGACCGTCCTGACTCGGACCACAACGGTTGACCGGTCGTCAGACCGTCCTGTGTGTGGTCGTCTGACTGTGAACTGCAATCGAGGCGTTCGCTGGGACTGCAGTTCGACTGGGAGAAGGAGTCACAAGAGGTTGGTCTCCACAAGACACTTGCGAAGGCTGTACGAACGATGTCTGAGAAGCGATCATCGATGGCTGGCACAAAAATAGACCATCTGTCCCACCTCAAGCATCTCATCACACTGCTCATGATAGTACATCTTGCTCATGGTTTCTGAAAGACCTCGATTTTTGCACGCTCAGACGCTCATGGTCGGATGTGTGGAAAGCTACATTTACTTCGACCCAAAAACCGACCAAACCAAGCGCTCCTTTCGACCCAGAAACCTTTCAGACCGCCCCTTTCTGAGTGAGGCACCGTTGGACCCCTCCGACAGGCCGAGGGCCCGTCCGGTTCCGGATCCGTGTATTTTGGTGAAGCTGTTTGAGGCCAAACAGCTGCACCGGCTCCGACGCTTTCCGACGCGAGGGAAGGTGGGTGTCGGTGTCCCACGGTGGCGCTCACCTTTGAAGGTCGGAGGTTGGAGTCGTCAATTTAGAGAGCGGGTGTTGGTAGGGATATACATTGGCCTTTCGCCTTTCAGATGCTTAGAAACACTATGTTTTACAGTACTTTATGTATGTAGAAGGCTATGTTAAAAAGGAAATCCAAAATGATGAATTTAAACAGAAAACTCAAAATCACATAATGACAAATGACAGCTAGATCATACCAGAGCAAAAGTGCAGACTATATTGGAGGTGGTAATATTTAAACATGGAAAAGTGCAGACATCAATCCAGGGGGTTGCAAAAACTATTGTAGAGGGTTATATCATCCAAGATTTCTAGTCTACTGGGCTATAAATGAAAAGATTCAATAAAGTTTGTTTAAAGAAATTAAGTAAAGAATCATGTAAAGGGAAATCAATAGGAATCAAAAGGACTTCCAAAAGAAATCAACTGGAATCAAATTGTTTTCTAAGGAAAGCGTGCCGAGCCTAGCACAAAATAGAAAATATAAACTAAGAAAGAAGAAAACTATTATCAAGGAGTCTTGGGCGGAGGCCTTTCAAAAATACCAACAAAACAAACAAAAAAACAAACAAACCAAATATTCAGCAATTTGGGGGGAGGAAGCAGCAGGGAGTCTCAGAATAGTGTTTGTTTTCTTTTTCAGAGTTTTGTGTTGTTTGTGTAATGTTTGTGTATTTTTCCTGTACGTGTGTACGTATTTTTGTTGATGTTTCTGTAGTTTTCTGTCATTGTGATGCAAGTGCAAATGAAGAACCATATACAGTTTACTTAAGGCTGCTAAGGGTTTGGCACATGGACATGCAACATATATTGTAGTTTATTAAGTTTCATGCACCAAAAAAAAACAGGAAATTTACATCCCTCGGAGCACCCCTTCTGATTTGAATCTGATTGAATGCAATGGACCCACTGATCGAGGCCGTGGCTAAAATCTTGGCGAAAAAGATTTGGTGAAGTCGGACACACATTGTGGAGACCCAAGGAGGAAGGCTGTGGTTCAGCCTGTGCTTTTTCAGGACACCGTCAGACACTTCGGATTGTTTCTTGATACCTTGCTAAACGTGCCATGATTTCCACACAACAAGTTGGACCCGAACGCGTTGGGCCCAAACACTCAGTCACTACGTTTTTTGTGCAAACCAAAACACAAAACTCTGTCACTCGGTAAGGAATAGTGAACAAGTTCGGAACAAAACGTGCTGGGTACCGATTTGAAGTCGTCGTGGGCAATGCACCAAGTTCACTTGGGTGATCCCTGGACACGTGAAATTCAATGTGTGCGAACCCTGACGTTTGATTTGCTTTGAGTTGGAGTTTTGGATTGGAAAATGATCATCATTCCCCATTCCCAAAAAACTTTTGTGATTTGCAAAGGAAATGCAAGACACAACATCAACCACTTTGCAGTAATATTCCTCTTGTTTGATGAAGGGATTTGAAACTAGCATCTGTCCATTGGTTTTGTGGGCCCACAGTCGTTGGTTCACGGCAAAGCCCCCCATGTAAGAATCCAGAGGCAATCGTCGACATCAAGAACAACATCTCTTCTTCCCATGCACGGCCAAAAATGGAAAAATTTATCTCACACAAGTGTTTGGAATGATATTTCCCCACACGAAGGTGTCAAGTTTACTTTGTGTCATCGCTTTCCTCTTTCTCCCCTTCTTCTCCTCATTATCCCTGTTTAGTAACGCACTATTTTAGAAGGTCCTTCGGTTGGCCGTTTTTTGTGCAACATGTTTGCTTTCTATAAGTCCGGACCAACGTTTTTCCAAAGTCCGCTGCTCAGCACGTCGTTCGGAATCATCACCAACTCCTGGTATTGACCCCGGAGCAGATGTTTCGAATCGGACCAGAAAAGTCCTTCGCAAGCTCGTCTAGGTTTCGGATTCGTTCCTTAGAAATCCGCCGACCCCGGCCGACGCAAGGGGGAGCGCGCCAGGGAATAATGATAGATCCGCCAGAACTCAATCGTTTGGAGCAGAACTCAATGGGTTAAAGCCGTGGCGAAGGGGTGGTTTCAGATGCTTTTGGGAGGCTGGAAAGCTTTTGGCAGGCTGTTGGTGGAAGCTTTTTGGGAGGCTGGTTAGTGGTGGAAA